TTTTATTATTGTCGCTAATAATGACAACTTCTTAATAGCTCAAACAAACACTTTTTTTATAATAATTCAAAAGTAGTGCCCTAGGCTTAGTCTCCATATCACCACATAATCTTAAAAAGGGTCTTCCTTTTAATAGACTATTAAAAAAATAAATCAGCTTACTTTTGTAATCACTTGAAAAACTGTGTGTAGTTCCTCACCCAAATTTCTCAATACATGTGATTATGAAGCGTGCCATGTGCTCAGATTATGAGAGGCTATATTTTAATTTTAATTTAATTTAATTTTTTTTAAAACTCCTTGAGGGTAGAGTATTAATTGCTTCTTTTTTTTTTTTGGCTAGGCAATGGGGTTAAGTGACTTGCCCAGGGTCACACAGCTAGTAAGTGTTATGTGTCTGAGGCTGAATTTGAACGCAGGTCCTCCTGAATCCAGGGCGTGTGCTCTATGCACTGTGCCAACTAGCTGCCCCGAGGCTAAATTTTTTAAACTAATAATCTTAGACCTGTTTTTTATCTTTATATCAATTAAGCTCTATCAGTTCAGAATTCAATACAGTTCTTCTACATTATGCAATTTTCATTTAAAAAGCCATCAGCTATATTGATAAAATTTCTTGATCTGGCATTACCATCATCATTACGTTTGCAAAGTAACAAATCTTCCCTAACATCAGTTTCAATAAAAGGTATATTTGTAATCAAATGAGCATCTTTAACTATACTTGCTGCTTTATCTACTTGCCTTGTCAAATAGGAAGGCATTAGTTTCTCAGTTAATTGATTGCAAAGGTATTCAGAGGGATGGGTAATTCTCCTTACCTCTGTTTTATCATTAAGCAGTGCTGCTTTGCATATGATTTGCACATCTCATTTCAACTATGCAAATAATTGTTGATAGTACTAGTATTTCTTCTATTGAATAAGGATTTTTAAACAGTATTGCTATAAAAAATGTTTCTAGATGCAAAGAATCCTTTGGGTACCATAGACCTAGTTTCTGAAAAAGCTTGTTTTTGCTTATTAAAAGAATATAATGGCTGTACCAGATCTCAAACTGTAATATAAAGTGGTAATTATAAAAACGATTTGGTACTGGCTAAGAAATAGAGTGGTGGATCAGTGGCATAGATTAGGCACACAAAATATGGGAGTAAAGAACCATAGTAATCTTGTATATGACAAACCCAATGACCTACACTTTTGGAACAAAAACTTATTATTTGACAAAAAAAAAAACCTGCCAGGAATATTGAAAAAGAGTATAGCAGAAACTAGGTATTGACCAACATCTCACACTATATACCAAGATAAAGTAAAAATAGGTACATGATTTGCACATAAAGGTATGTATCATAAGGTACCATTAACCATAAGCAAATTAAGAGAGGAAGGAATAGTTTATCTGTCAGATTTATGGATAAGGAAAGAATTTAGGACCAAAGAAAATATAGAGAGAATTACAAAATATAAAATAGAAAGTTTTGATTATATAAAATTTAAAAGTTTTTATACAAAGAAAACCAATGCAACCAAAATTAAAAGGAAAGCAGAAAACTGAGGGGAAATTTTGCAACAAGTATCTCTGATAAAGGCCTCATTTCTCAAATAGATAGAGATTTAAGTCAAATTTATAGAAATACAAGTTATTCTCCAATGATAAATGGTCAAAGGATATGAATAGGCAATTTTCAGACAAAGAAATCAAAGCTTATCTATAGACATATGAAAAAATGCTCTAAATCATTACTGATTAGAGAAATGCAAATTTAAAAACTCTGAGGTACCTACACCTCACACTTATCAGATTGGCTAATATGACAAAAAAGAAAAGAAAAGAAAAGAAAACAATGGATATTGCAGGGGATGTGGGAAAACTTGAACACTATAGCACTGTTAGTGGAGTTGTGAATTGATCCAACCATTCTAGGGAGCAACTTGGAACTTTGCCCAAAGGGTTAAAAAACTATGCATACTTTTTGATCTAGCAATACCACTGATAGGTCTACATCTGAAAGATATTAAAAAAGGAGGGGGGGAAGGATTTATTTGTACAAAAATATTTATAGTAGCTCTTTTTGTGGTGGCTAAGATTAGGAAATCAAAGGGACTCCCATCAATAGCGGAATGGCTAAACAAGCTATAGTATATGATTGTGATGGGATATTATTGTGCCATAAGAAATGACAAGCAGGATAATTTCAGAAAAACCTGGAAAGACTTATATGAAAAATGAAGCTAACAGAAGAAGACTTATATGCAAAATTAAGCTAACAGAACCAGGAAAATGTTCTGCACAGTAACAGCAATATTTTATGATGAAGAACTATGAATGACTTGGCTATTCTCAGCAATACAATGATCCAAAACAATCCCAAAGTACCACCAATGAAGTATACCATCTGCCTCCAGAGAAAGAACTGATATTGTTTGAATACAGATGGATGCATGCTATTTTTCACTTTCTTTCATTCTTTTTCTTTAATTTGAGTCTTCTTGTACAAAATGACTAACATGGAAATAATTTACACGATTGCACATGTATAACCTATATCTGATTGCTTACCATTTGGGGAGATGGAAGAGGAGAGAGGAGGGGAAGGAGGTAAGGATAGAATTTGGAACTCAAAACAAAAAAAAAAGGAAATGCTTAAAAAATGTTTTAACATGTAACTGTGGAAAAATAAAATATATTAAATAAAGAATACAATTATTTCTTGGAAAAAATTTTCTTACCTTACCAATGTATTCTGCAGATACACTTTCTTTTTTTATTTTTATTCATTTTGAACTTAAATATATAAAGACAAAATAAAAAGAACATTTCCACATATACAACACAACCTAAAAAAGAGGATTCACTATAAAACCATGAATTTACATTTCATACTGTTTGCTTAAAAAAAACCAAACACCCTATATAATAAGTACTACCCATCATTTTCAAAGCTACTCTGCATTCTATGTTTCCTTCTACATTTTCTTTCATTCTCTGCTGTGTACTTTTTAAAATTCCCTGCTCCCACCCTGATGGCTACCATTAGACACAAATATGTATAAATATGTAAAACTACACTATACATACTTGTACTTATCAGTTCTCTCCCTGGAGGCAGATAACATCTTTCTTTGTAGGTCCTTTATAGTTAATTTGAGTGTTTACAACATTTACAATGACTTAGTCACTCAAAGTTTTCTTTAAATAAAATTGCTGTTACTGTATACAATGTTCTCTTGGTTCTGCTCTTTTCACTCTTCATTATTTCATGCAAGTCTTTCCATGCTTTTCTAAAATCAACGAGCTTGTCATTTCTTATAGCATAGTAGTATTCCATCACAATCATATAACACAACTTGTTTAGCCATTCCCCTATTGACAGGCATTCCCATAATTTCCAGTTCTTTGCTACCACAAAGAGAACTGCTATAGATAATTTAGATCATATAAGTTTTTCTTTCTTTTTCTTTTTCTCTAGCCATCTTGGGAGACAGACCCAATAATGATGTTGCTGAGTCAAAGGGTGTAAGCAGTTTAATAACTCTTTAGGCATATGCTCTCCAAAATGGTTGGATTAATTGCACAGTTCCACCAACAGTAAATCAATATCCCAATTTTTCCATATCCCCTCCAACATTTGTTGCTTTCTCTTTCTATCATTTTAGCCAATCTTATAGGTATAAAATAATATCTCAAGGTTGTTTTAATTTCCATTTCTCTAATCAATGATTGAGAGCATTTTTATATAACTATAAATTATTTTGATTTCTTCACTGGAAAACTGCCTGTTCATATTCTTTGACTATTCATCAATTGGTGAATGACTTGTATTCTTATAGATTTGACAAATTTCTTCATATATTTGAGAAATGAGACCTTTATCTGAGAAATTACCTATAAAATTCCCCCTCCCCCCAATTTTGTACTTTCCTTCTGATCTTGGGTACATTGGTTTTAGTTGTACAAAATCCTTTTAATTTAATTTAATCAAAATTATCCATTTTACACCTCATAATGCACTCTGTCTCATGTTTATTCATAAATTGTTTGCCTAGCCATAAACCTGATAATTAACATGTTCCATGTTCTTCTAATTTTCTTGTAATATCTCCCTTTATATCTAGGTTACACATCTATTTTAACCTTATTTTGGTAAATAGTATAAGATAATGATCTATGCCCAATTTCTGTCAGACTGCTTTCCCAACAGTTTTTACCAAACAATGAATTCTTATCTCTAAAATAACACTTGTCAAACACAAAGTTACTATATTAATTCAGTTTGTATATTATATATCTACTCTGTTCCACTGATCTACTTTTCTATTTCTTAGCCAGTATCAGATAGTTTTGATAAGTACTGCATTATCATATAGTTTAAGATCTGGTACTACTAAATCTCCTTGCTTTACTTTTTCTTTTCCTCTAGTTTCTTTGATATTCTTGATCTTTTATTCTTCCAAATGAATTTTGTTACTATTTTTTCTAACTCTGTAAGATAATTTTTTGTTAACATAATTGGGATAGCATTGAATAAATAGATTAATTTTGATAAGATTGTCATTTGTATTATATTGGTTCTGCCCACCCATGAAAAATTAATATTTCCCCAATTATTTAAATCTGATTTCATTTGCAAAAGTTATTTTAAAAATAATTTTATTCATATACTGGGTTTTATTCATTACTGGGTTTGTTTTGGCAGGTGTACTTCCAGGTATTTTATAGTGTTTATATTTTAAATGAGGCATCTTTTACTATCTTTTCTTGGAGTATTTTGTTGGTGATATTGTAGGCATACTTTCATGATATTTTCACTTATTTAGTTTCATCCTTTCTTAAGCTAAAACATTTGCACAAAGCAAACATAGTACTTCTCTCTGTCAACAAAAGTACTTGTAAATGCCAATGATAAATATAGCATATCACATTTTCTGGATTTGGATTTTTTATTCTTGTTTCTGTATTTCCAGTACTTAATTTATTTCTATTTTCTTTGCTAGTTTCAGCTGCTCCAGTGGATTCTCTTTTCAAATTGGTCAGGTATATATCAGGTATTATTAAAAGGTATATTATTTCACTTTTAAAAATTTAAGATGAATATTTTAAATTTAATTGTTCAAAATTTCAGATGATCATTTGTAACCATTTTTTGAAGTTCTATCCGTTTTTGGTAACAACTTTATCATTTCATACTTACCAAAATAAATGACATTGAGAAATATATTAGATATCATAGCATTTTTTAGGGCAGCTAGGAATCACAGTGAATGGAGCACCGACTCTATCTCCTCCACTCCTCCTGGAGTCGTGAGAACCTCAGTTCAAATCTGGCCTCAGACACTTACGAGCTGTGTGACTCTGGATAAGTCACTTAACCCTGATTGCCTCAGTTCCTCATCTATAAAATGAGTTGGAGAAGAAAATGGTAAACAGCTTCAATATCTTTGCCAAGAAAACCTCAAATGGGGTCACAAAGAGAAATGATTGAACAACAAAATAGTGTTTTTAACCTCAGAACAAAAATTGTTTAACTTCTAATTTACAAACTTCACATTCAAGTTCAATAAGCAGCACAATGACACACCTCATCTGTGTCATGGAGCTACACTGACTGATGGTGACAGTGAGAGATCACTGGACTGAAATTTGATTTTATGCATATAGTCCTAAATAATTACTAATCTTCAGTCATTGTGGTTTGGAATGAATTTGCCATGTTTGTTTTGCTTCTGTCAACTTAGACTTGAATTTTCTTTTCATTGGGAAAAAAACCCACTTGATATATTTCCATTGGAACAGTATTTGAAAATACCCAATAACTTTGGCCGTTGCATGCCCTCCGAGAGGGTCTCATGCGCTCCTCCTATCCCAAGGAGGTATACCCTGCCATATGGAAAACTCTGTCCTGTATCACTTTGAGGAGAAATTTCTTTATCATCCCATTTGGTATACATAGTATTTGGTATATTAAAAAATAGTATATTAAATATTAAATAATAGTATATTAAAAAATCATCAAGCCTTGACTGCAGTCAGAATAACTGACCTCCAACAGGGACCTGTAATGGATGTGTTAGCCAGAGCTTCCTATAAAGTCTCAGCCATGGAGGGACTCCTGCTGTTGGTTCCCTCCCAACACCATTATTTAGTTGATGCTTCTTGGCACAAATCGATCTTTGATAGCATGGGCTCCTTTCCCTGTGTACCTGCTACACCTTCTGACAAAGCTATTAAACTCTAAAGTGGATGGACTCCTGTCATAACTGGCCTGAAGGAGCCCCCCAGCCCTTCTGAAGGCAGGTCCTATCACTACCATGCATAATTTGCTTCTCACACAATCAGAGAATGAACTATTGTTAATGTCTAGTGGTTTTGCTTCTTTCAGTATCTGTTTCTAGCCTTTATTCATAAACATTTTCAGGTCACTAGCATCAATTTAGACTTAGAATGCTAGAGACCCTCGAGTCTAATCTCTTTATTTGAGGGATGAGAAAACTGAAGCTCCCAAGGGTGAAGGGTTTTGCCTGAGGTCATTTAGGTCATATAGGTCATAGCCAAGATTTAGACCTTTGTTTTCTAATTGTAAATCTAGCGCTTTACTAGGAAAGTCATGATTTATTGGTACCCTGAAAGACTGATTATCTTCTCTCTCCTGGATTGCACAGCAAACTGAGTTATATAATTTTAAAGGTTATTTTATAGGATGCAAAGGTTCCTCAGAGGATATCTAATGTAATCCATAACTGAAGTGGGTAGCTGGGTGGTGCAATGGATAGAGCACCAGGTCTGGAGTCAGGAAGACCTGAGTTCAAATCCAGCCTCAGACACTTACTAGGTGTGTAAACCTGAGCAAGTCACTTAACCCTGTTTGGCTCAGTTTCCTCATCTTAAAAAACTAGAGAGGAAATAGCAAACCACTCCAATATGTTTGCCAAGAAAACCCTAAATGGGGTCGCAGAGAGTGGGACATGACTGGACAACAAATTTACCAGAGCAGCTAGGTAACACTAGGGACAGAGCCCCAGGCTTGGAGTCAGGAAGACTCTTCTTCCTGAGTTCAAATCTGGCCTCAGACACTGGTTGTGTGACTCTGGGCAAGTCATTTAATCCTGTTTGCCTCAGTTTCCCCATCTGTCAAATGAGCTGGAGAAGGAAATAGCAAACCACTTTAGTATTTTTGCCAAGAAAACCCCTGGCTGAAATGAGTCAACAACATAACTGAATGACAACAACAACAATAATATAATAATCATTATAATATAATAACACTAATACTAATAGCTAGCATGTAGTACTTCAAAGTTTGCAAAACACTTTACTTGTGTTAGCTCATTCAGTCCTCACAAAAACCCTGGGTGGTATGCATGATTATTAACATCATTTTACAGATGAAAAAATAGGAGCACAAAGAGTTAAATGACTTCCCTATGGTCACACAGCTAGTAAGGATTTGAGGTCACATTTGAAATCAGTGTCTTTTTAATTGGTCTGGCACTCTGTCTACTGCATCACTTAGCTGCCTCTAAAGCACTATGGACAAACAGACTTCTAGACTGTTAGAAAAATCTTCAGTGAAGGATCACTTAATCAAAGCCCTTCAATTTGTGGATAAGGAACTCAGAGCCTATAGTGATTACATAATTTGTACAGACTCAACCAGACAGTGACAGATTGGGGACATTATCATAATAGCTTAGCTGACATTTACATAGGGACTTAAAGTTTACAAAGCACTTTACACAGATAATCTCATTTGAGCTTCACAACAATCCTATGTGGATAGAGTCATAGATCACTGGAGGTGGAAGAAACCCATTGTTGATATCATATTTACCCCATTTTATAGATAGGGAAACTGTCTCAGAGAAGATAATGATTTTCCCAGTGCTCTTTCCATACCCCACCACTTCTGGGGAGACCAGGTCTATTTAACTCCCAGCTTAGTTAGTGAAGTAGAAATATCACTGCACTTGGAATTGGAAAGTACTGTGTTCAAATCTAGCCTCAGAAGAGAGCTGTATAACACTGGACAAGTCACATAACCTGTGTCTGCCTCAGTTTCTTCAACTGTAAAATGGAGATAACAACAGCATTTATGTCCCAAGGTTGTTGTAAGCATCAAACGAAATATTTGCAAAGTGCTTAGCATGGTGCCTGGCACATAGTAGGTACTTAATATTTGTGTCTTTCTTTCCTCTTTCCATTATATTATGCTGTCTTCCCACGCTCCTTGGATTTGGGGACAACAAAGAAACATAGATTTCAAGTGATATTGACCTTGGTTCTTGTCTGGTTTTTATAAGAGATTGAGGATTCGCTTTGATGGCTCATCTCTGTGCCACTGACAAAGAGCCAGAGTACTCATGGGGAAGCCCGAGAACCATTTGCTGATTTTTTCAAGGAGTCCAATTAAAAACTAAGTGGCTGTGGGTTGGCTGGAACTCCTCTGTCTGACAGGGTGGTTGTCACAGTCATGAGAAATCTAGGGAAGGGAGACCTCATCATTAGGTGTGATGGAAAGGCTTGGAATGCATCCGCCAATGGTCTGGCCATATCTTGCATTTGGCTTGAGCCCAGAGCCTTCTGTAATATTTACAGCAGGGATTGCTGCATTGCCTGGACAAGTGTCTATGAGAAAATAAAGAAATGCTTAGCTCTGCTGTTTGGAAGTTGGGGTGGGAGGTAGACAGGGAGCAGGTAGGTAGAGAACAGACACTTTCATGGAATTGTCATAGGAACAAAGGTTCTGGAATTGTCATAGGAACCAATGGTCTGTCTAGCTCTGGAGGCTGTCTTGGCCCTCAGTGACCTATAAAGAAAAGTGTGAGAACTTTCTCAAGTCAAGGTTGGGATGCTGAGGCAAGATACCCAGGGACAGTCTACCAAGGAACATGTAAAAAGGAGAGACAGCAGCTCCTTGACCCATGGGGTGGTGGTAGTGGTGGGATCATTCACATGTTAGGAATTACCCATTGCCATATGTCTTCACTTTGCTCATCCATTCATTAGAGTCAAGTGATTACCAAGTGCCAAGATTATTCATATGTTTAGTGTGATAAAACCATGCATATCAGGAATTAACCATATCCCACTAAGCCAGTTTGGGATAGTAAGTGTTTGTTTTCTAACAAGAGCTATAACTCCTTCTGGGTCTCTTTTCCAAGCTTTTCTCCACAGCAATCAGCAGTCGCTCTCTGCCTTCCAAAGCTTAGGTGCCAGTCTAAGCTTCTAATCCCAAGAGGGTCTTGACACCAAGACTTGGTTACAAGTCAATTTGGGAAGACCTGAAAAAACTGGAACACAGCACCACTTGACTCAAAATCCTGGCAGATTTGAGGAGGTATAAACCACCCCATCACAACTTGATGGCTTTTTTGGGGGCAGAAGGACAGATGAGCCTGGGGTCAGGAAGGCCTGAATTCAAAGCTGGCTTCAGACACTTACTAACTGCAGGACCCTGAGCAAGTCACGTAACCTTTGCAGTCTCAATTCCTTTAACTGTAAAATGGGGATGGATTGTTGGGAGAATGAAATGAGATAATATTTGTATAGTGCTCAGTACAGTGCCTGGTACATAAGAGATGCTTAATAGATGCTTGTTTCCTCCTTTCCTTTTCTCCTTCCTTCCTTTTTCCCTCTTTCCTTCCTCCCTTCCTCCCTCCTTTCCTTCCTTCCTTCCTTCCTTCTTTACTTCCACTTATTATACCCTTTTCCTTCTCTGAAAAAAGACAGTGCCAAATTAGATTATGTCTAAGGTCCTTTCCTGTTCTAAAGTTCCACAATTCTAAACTTCACAGCATTGATTTACACTTTTATATGAATGGATTTCGGATCCTTCATTAGGAGCAGGTTTTGTAAGGAAGGGAACGTGAAGACACTGGGTGACTGGGTAGTTTAGGTTCCCACTGCACTGCAGTCCTGTCCTGAAGATAGAGCTCTCTTTATGTCCCGCATGGGCCAGAACCTTACTAGACTACTTGGTTCAGTTCTAGTCACCATTACTTAATAGAACTGTAGGAGAGGATTCAGGCTAGAGCAATGAAGGTGACTCAGAGTTTGAAAGG